GCACGCCAATTGACTCCAAGCTCCAGAACTTCTCGAGAGAGTCTTTCAACTCCTGATATTCGGCTTGCAGATCGTGATTCAGCAGCCCATCTCGGTCGATGCGTTCAGCAGTCTGCGAGACATGAACGGCTGTCTCTGTTCCAGAGATGATTGGTCCAATCTTAGTTTGATGTAGAGTGAGACCATTTTGCAGAGTCATGGTGGTAGTTTTGGAGCCCAAGACTTGAGCCATGGTGTCGAGACCAATCAGGATGTCTGGATCGATGACTTTTCTGCCAACGGAGTCGAGAAACTCGAACTCTCGAATGTCGAACGGATCTTGGTGGAGCTCGGTGTTGATGTCCGCAGTCACAATCAACGTTGCGATGTTGTCGATCTCGGTGACTGGAACTTGAACTGTCTCTGAGCCAAGACAGATGGAGAGGTTGTATCGTCGAGTCGTCAAAGTCTTCTTTTCGTTGGCGAACGTTTGAAGGTTCAGAGTGACGGTATCGATGGGTTCAATTCGCAGCTTTGCGGCGAGCTTCTGAGAGATGAAGCTTCTGTTGGAGCCGCTGTCGACGAAGAGCATCGAGCTGTGAGATTTTCCATGAACGTCAAGGACTCGGACCTTTTTGCTCATCATGAGGACAGAATTAGACGATTTCTCGCTGAGCTTCTTCTCGACGTTGCTCACAACTTCAGAAACTGGTGCCGATACTTCGTTGGTCGACAGAGTGAACACTGGAGCGTCGCTATCGTCAGGAAAGTGAGCGACCTCAGCAAGAGCGTCGCTATCGTCAGGAAAATGAACGACCTCAGCAAGGCTTTCTTCGTCGCTGACATCACTGGCAAGGTTGAAGTGGACGTGTGTACGATGTGGACGTCGTTCTGGTCTTCGATCAATGCGATTCTGATCAAACGACGGGCGAGAGCTCGAGTCGGACTGGCTCCTGTTGGGTTTCGATCGCGGGCAAAGTAGAGAATGATGTGAGCCTTGGCAAGACCGGCACAGCCTCTCCGATTGGCAGTCCTTGGTCATATGACCTTGCTTCAGGCACCGAAAACACAATCGACGACGAGTTGCGGCAGCTCGTCTGTCCGAGACGGTAGGGTTGGAAGGACAGTCTTTCATCCAATGCGCGTCGCGGACGTTGCAAAGAGGGCAAGGACCTTTTGGCGGTTTGATGGTCGTCCGGCTGTCGATTTGTTGTGGCAATTTGTGAGATTGCTCTCGATTCACCGGGTATGAAGTTGCGGTTGACTGCCGCTGCGGAGGCGGACCTTGATGACGGTTCATGGCGTTGGTGGTCATCGTTGTGGTGAATCGGTGATCTCGTTCGTGCTCACGTTGGAAGCCAACGTTGTTGAAGATCAGATCGATTTGGAGCTCTTCTTGTGCAATCAAGTAAAGCTCTTGAAGCAAATCCGTCGTAGACATCGATCGTCGATGTGCTTTTGCGTGGTACAGCCGTGAGAGAACATGTCGAGGAAGCTTCGTCTCGATGAATGCGACTGTCATGGAGTTGTTGCAGTCGTCTCCATTCACTTGAAGTTGACGTACGAGCGCCGCAAGCTTTTGCCAAAAAGATTGCAGTTCTCGTGGACTCCTTGAGTTTTTGATGCTTGGTAGCATTTGAAACTCGGCGATGAGCGCTTGTCTGGTGCGGAGTTCCCCACCGTAGGTCTGATCGAGGAGCTCAAGCGCGATCGTGTAGTTGGCATCCGTAGTTTGGATGCCTCGCAACAGCTCTTCTGCTGAGCCTTGCAGACAGCATTTGAGGTAATGGAATTTGATGTTGGCGTCATATTGTTGCCGTCCAATGAGAGATTCGAATCGTTCGCGAAATTCGTGGTAGAGAAGAACATCTCCATCAAAAGTTGGAAGTTTGATTTGAGGCAACAAGACGTTGTTGCGTGGTGACGGCGGAGCGTACTGCATCGGTTGCAGTGGAGCGGTTGGCATCGTGATCGATCCAACAGGTACGTAACCAAATGAAGGGTGAACGTACTGAGGTGCCGTGACGACTGAAGGCATCGTCTGTTGCAGCTGCGGCTGCAACGTCAGCGGCAGTGATGATGGCTGTGAAGGTTGCGGCCAGAGATGAGGCAGCGTCGGTGGCTGCGAGGGCGGAAGCGGCGACGGCGGCGGTGGCGGTGACTGCGGAAGATGAGGCAGCGACGGCGGCAGTGGCGGTGGCTGCGGAAAATGAGGCAGCGACGGCGGCGGTGGCGGTGGCTGCAGAAGATGAGGCAGCGACGGCGGCGGTGGCGGTGGCTGCAGAAAATGAGGCAGCGACGGCGGCGGTGGCGGTGGCTGCGGAAGAGAGTGCGGCGACGGCGGCAACGGAGGCGCCGGCTGCTGGGCAGTTGAGTGAGGAACTGCGACTGGAGTTTGCACAACGTTCGTTGGTGTTGGTGTTGGAAAACGAGAAGAAGAAGAAATGCTTTCTGTCTTCGGCCCGAGTATTTCTGGCCAGTCGTATTCGTAGTCTGGGAACTTTGACTCGTAGAGCTGGCGAGTTTTGGTCAACAAGTCAGCTATGTTGGTCAAAATAGGTCTGACTTGTTCAGCTTGGTCGAGGTAGTTGCCTTTATCTTGGATGTAGATCGATTGAGTTGACGCTTCTTCCGGATGCGCATCGATGAGCTTTGACCATTTCTTGTGGTTGGACTGGATGCGCTCGTAATCGTTGCACAAGGAGACGTGCACATTAGCCAAATCCTCGGTGAGTTCTTCGAGGTCTTCGCGAGGGAAGTCTGCGATCTCCGCATACTTCGGCAGTTGTGCCGCTTCATGAAGGTTGTTTTTGAGCCGGTTTACTGCAGATGAGATTTGTCGTCGGAGGTTGGACGACATGACGAGACTTTAGAATGAAGTCCGACGAAGAAGAAAAATGGGCAGCAACAGACGAAAAAACGGGAGCAGGAACTCTTCCACGTGGTCGCCAATTTTGTCAAAGAACCAATTGACAAACTAGGAAGAAGCCAAATTTATTCAATACAAAGTCGAGACAACAAAAAAGATAAAGACAGTTTTTCCCTTTCCCTTTTATAGAACGAAAACTCCCACGTTTCCCAGAAAGATATTAAAACCACCCACACAATAAATATTTTATGGGAACAATTTGACAATTTTGGGAAAAGAAAAAGATCGCTTTCGCGAC